AAGGAATGTGTGCAGAGACCTGGAACATCTAGGAAGCAAGACTCCCAGGGGGAAGGGATGGCAGGAGGCAGGGGGCAGGGCTTAAATGCAAAGCAGGTGAGTCAGTCGGGCTTTTCCCTAACACTCCTCAACCTTGGGGCCTGGTCACGTCGCCAGATCTCTCTGGGCTCTCCATCTGCAAAATGGGATGATGATATAAAACCCATTTCAAAAGGTTGCTGTAGGGATTAACCTTTAAAAATACACCCACATGAATACTCATAAATAAAAAAATAAACCAACCTAAACCTCACATAGTATCTGAAAATTAACTCAAGAGGAATCATGGACTTTAATGTAAAATGTAAAACTATAAAATTTTTAGGGAAATATATGGAAGAAATCTTCTGGACCTACTGTTAGGGAACAGTTCTTAGGCTTACTGCTAAAAACATAGTCCGTAAGGAAAAAATTGATAAAAATGACTGACTCATTGATTCTGTGGCAGATCCTGTGAAGAGGATGAAAAGCCAAACTCAGACAGAGAGAAAATATTCACAAACCACATATTTGACACCAGTTTTCTAGAATATTTAAAGAAGTCACCAAATCAATGGTAAAAAGGAACAACTATCCAATTAGAAAATTACATAGACAGTTCACTGAAGAGGATATACAAGCAGCAAATGAGTATAGAAAAAGATGTTACATAGCGTTAGCCATTGAGGAAATGTAAATGGAAACTACAATGAGATTTCATTACACACCTACCAGAATGGCGGCGGGGGGATAGTGACAGGGCCAAATGCTGGTGAGGATGCAAAGAAACTGGGTTTTTCATGTACTGCTGGTGGGAATGTAAACTGGTACAGCCCCTTTAGAAAAACAGTCTGGCAGTTCTTATAAAATCAAACATACCATTACCTTACCACCCAGTGACTGCACTCCTAGGCATCTAATCTAGAGAAATGAAAACCTACGTTCACACAGAAACCTTACCTTCCATGCTCACAGTAGTTTTCTTTGTAACTGAAATCTGAAAGCAGCTTAGATGCCTTTCAGCAGGTGAAAGGTCAAACAAGCGGTGGGACATGTGTACGACAAGACACTGCTCCGCAAGCTACGTGCAAGCACTCGGATGAATCTCCAGAAACTTACACGGAGTGAAAAAAGCCAAATCAAGAGTCTACGCCCATGTGATTTCATTGACATGACACTCTTGAAGTGACAAGTTTATAAAGATAAAGAACACGTTAGTGCTTGCCAGAAGTGGGGAGTGGCTGTGGCTATAAAAGGGCCCTTGTGATGGAACTGCTCTGCAGTGGTGGTCACAGGAATGTACGCACGATAAAACTGCACGAATGTGTGTAAAACTGGAGAAATATGAATAAAGTCCATCGATTGTATCCCTGTCAACTCCCTGGCTGTGATATTGTGACATATAAGATGCTATCATTGGGGGAAACTGGGTGAGGGGTACAGGTGTCTCTGTATTATTTCTTATAATTACTTGTTTATTATAATTACCTTAAAACAAAAATAGTTTTTTTTTAAAATGCATGTGAAGTCCTCTTTCTCCTCCTCTAATTTTCTTCTCACCTCTTTCCACCTCCTGCTCTTCTTCCTCTTCCTTCCCCTCCTCCTCCTAATTCTATTTCGTATTCTTCCCCCTTCCCTTCTTCTCCTTCTTGTTTTTGTTATTTCCAGGCAATATTGCATTCCTAGAAGCAAAATCTTTCCATAAGAGATGAAAGGGAGTAATCTAGCTTGCAGCACAGAGGCCTCAAGGAGAATGCCTGGTCCGTCCTGAGAAAGCCAAAAAAAAGATCAACTTGCCATTCTTAGAATCATTTCAGGGCTTTATCTATCCAGTGTCCCACACCGAGGCTCATGGCATTGTGTGCTGGCAGCTGAGATGTGCAGACATACAGGTGTGGGCTGGGCAGGCACATAGGTGTGAGCTGGGCAGGCATACAGGTGTGGGCTGGGCAGGCATACAGCTGTGGGCTGAGCAGGCATACAGCTGTGGGTTGAGCAGGCATACAGGTGTGAGCTGAGCAGGCATACAGCTGTGGGCAGGGCAGGCATACAGGTGTGGGCTGGGCAGGCATACAGCTGTGGGCTGAGCAGGCATACAGCTGTGGGTTGAGCAGGCATACAGGTGTGAGCTGAGCAGGCATACAGCTGTGGGCAGGGCAGGCATATAGCTGTGGGCTGAGCTGCAAAGCTGGGGTGCTAGGTGTGGCTTCACTGCAGCCTCAGGATATCCCCGAGGAGCCTGCTGCTGGGCTGATGCCCCCAGAGGGTGAATGCCTGGCATAGTCGTTTGTTTCTACCTGGCAGATGGACTTGGTCCTGAATACTCCAGAAAAATAGGCCCTTTCAGGGTCAAGGTGGAGTAAAAATGGAATGTATCCAGAACAGAGTAAGAGCATTTCTGAATTTGACCAGTTATAAATTCTCCACTCTGATACACAACACTGACTCCCCTCTGAAGGGCTTTTGATAAAATCTATCTTAAGTGTCAAGAAGCCAGAAATGGAAGCTGTGTTTCAGGAGAGACAATTCTCATGGTCAGGATTATGGCCACAGGTCCTTTGTAGACGTGG